GTATTGGCAGGTGTGTTACTTTGGGTAGACGAGAGAAACAAATCCAGGGAGACTCATATGTGTACGGGAAAGTGCTTTATATACAAGAGCAATTGAATATTGAGAAAACATCCCAGCCCAATCCAGATCAAGTCCATAAGTCTGATAGTACCCCATATGTCCGATACCAATCTATAAAGTCCTCTTCAGACTCACACAACACATGCAATGACACTGAATGCAGGATAATCACAGGCCAGTGGATGGGAAGTCTTGTGAATCCAGTGGTGGTGTAAGCATCTAAGCGCTGGCAAGGGTCTCCACGTGGCTCCTCCAGCTCAGGGCACTAATGTAGTTCCATGTGTCTTGTCAACTACAATGTCTCCCAGGAAGTGAGCAGAGAGAGAGAGAGAGAGAGAGAAAGAGTGTGTCTCCCGCTTCCCGGGAGGAACTCCAGAGTTCCCAGAATCCTCAGGAGAAGGCCATGCCCACACAGAGGCCTCATTGCCTATGACCTGATTGACAGCCTAGACTCCACCCCTTCACTCTGACTCCACAAATGGACACCAGATTACATAACTACCACAGCAGCTGGGTCAAGAAATCAACATATTGCACAGGTTTGAAAAGACCTCTTTAAGCGAAGATGCCATTTGGAGGACTAAGTGCACCTGGCCCAAGCCCCGGTCTTTTCAAGCATCCTAAAGGCATGTGAAATGTTTCCGGTGCCTAAGGAAGACTGCGGACAGTGATGCATTTGGGTGACAGTGTTGGCAAAGGCTATTCCTTGCACTCTGCTCTGCCAGAAGCATGAACCAACTGCCTGGGAAGAACGACAGCCAGAGAGCTCCTTAGAAGCAAGGGAGGTGAGGCTTGGTCTCACGTACGTCAAACACGTGCTCAGGAGGGACCAGTCCCTGGAGAAGGACATCCTACTTGGTAGAGTAGAGGGCCTGATGAGATGGATTGACACTGTGGCTGCAACAGCGACTCAAACTTCGGAAGGACGTGAGGGCGGCGCGGGATTGGGAGTGTTTTCTTTAGCTGCGCGCGGGGTCGCTAGGAATCAGAACCAACTTGCTGGCACTTGGGCAACCAAGTGTGGGACATGTCTGTGGTTGTTGATGCCTTCAGATTGATTCCGACCGATGGCAATGAATGTCATGTGACAAGCAGCACTGCCCCCATCGGGTTTCTAGGCTGTAGTCTTTACAGGAGCAGATAGGCTCTCTCCCTTGGGGCTTCGTGTGGGCGCTCAGTCAGTCTGTGGATGGCTGAGCACTTAACTGTTGTGTTCCCAGGGCTCCTTCTGCTGATACTACTTGCTGTTTAGCTGAAATCCGGTGTGCACTGGACATCCTGAGTTACTTAGTTTGGCTGGTTGGTTTTTGTTTCTTCCGAGTCAGCTGGTGAGCATCCAGGCATCCTTGACCTCTGCCTTTGCTCAGCAGCAGCCAGTTCAGACCTCCCGAGTGTTCAGACCCAGAGCCCTCGGCCCCTGCAGAGCTTGGCTAGAGGGGTGGCTGTTCTTCCCCTCCCACCAGCACCGTGGCTCCTCAGGCTGATGAGCGCACTTTTGAGACTACCAGAGCTAGTCAAGGTCACAGGGAAAGCTGTGGCTCCAGCTTTTCCTCCTCTGGGCAGCAGGGACAGGATCTTGCTGGTTCCTTCCTTTGAATTCCCTTCCCTGGACGAGGCAGCGCACCTGGCTGCAAAACCCTAGAGCCTGGGTACCCCAAGGACACCCAATCTTCTTTGGCAGAAGGTGAGTAGTCACTGTGGTGGGAGCTGGGATACGGGAAGTCCTGGTGTAGCCACCAGCTCTGTCTATAACCCTTGCTGTGACCTTGGCCAAACCACATCACCTCTCTGGGTTTCCTGGTTAAAACCGGAGTATAATTATGCTAGCTAGCTCTGACAGAGTAGTTAGAGAGTCCCTAGGGGATATCAGTGGTTTCTGTCTGACTACCAACCTAGAAGTCAGTGCTTCAAACCCACCCAGCTGCACCACAGAAGAAAGACCTGGTAACCCTTACCAAATGGTGTTCCAAAAGGCCACACAGTCAATAAGAAACAGAGCCAGGATTTGAAGTCAAGCAGCTTGGTGCCAGCACCAAGTTCCTTAGCCACTCTGCCCTGCTGTCCCTGGGAAAGTACGAGAAGCAGCACAGGTGCTGGCATTGTGTGTGTGTGTGGGGAGGGGGGGCCGGCATCTCCTGAGCCCCTATGCTGTGCTAAGGAGCCCTGGTGGTGCATTGGTGAAGCGCTCAGCTGCTAAGCAAAGCCTGGAGGTTCTAACCCACTTGTCAAGACAGCTCCATCTGTTTCCGTGTGGATTACAGCCCAGGGACCCGACGGGCCAGCTCCACTCTGTCACACGGTGCTGCCAGGAGTCAGCATCGCTCACCAGCAGCCAGCCACCACACCTCTCGCTGAGCCCAGACCTGAACAGCGGGTCTCACGCCAAGGTTGTGCTGGTTACTCCACTCCATTCTACACCCTGTGACACTGGGCCACACTGTGGGCAGTGGGCATCAAGGGCAGAGTTACTTTTTAACACCCACCTCATAAGGTCCAGGAAGCCGTCTTGCGCTCCCCCAGTGACTTTGATCCCAGCCTGATGGAGCGGCCACCCTGGTCCTGGGCCGGACACTGTTCCTTTATCCTTCTCCTAGCCCATGGACCCTCTTTGGTGCCCCCTTTTCTTCTCTCCACTACAGAGTAGGAAGAGTAAGAGGAGCCCTAGCGGTGGTGTCAGTTAAAGCCCTAAACTGCTAACTGCAAAGTTGGTGGTTCGTGTCCACCAGCTTCTCTGCTGGAGAAAGATGAGGCTGTCTGCAGCCTCGGCAACATTCATAGGGTTACTGTGCATTGGGATCGACCTGATGGCAGTAGGTTTGGTTTTGGCTTAAGAGGAATAATACTTCACATGTGTACTGCATTTTCACCTGGTGTCATAGTTAGACTGCTAACCAAGGTCCCCAGTTCAAACCCATATCCGCTCAAGTGAGAAACAAGAGGCTTTCTATTCCTGTAAAGATTGACAGCCTTAGAAAACCACAGGGACAGTTCTGTTGTACTCTATAGGGCCACTATGGGTTTGAATTGACTTAATAGCTGTGTTTGTTTGGGTTTGGGGTTCTGATTTTGGTCCTGGTTTGGTTTTATGCCGACTCAAAAGTCCCTGAGTGGCACCATTGGCTACACGGTCAAATATCAACATAAGCACTGGTGGTTCAAACCAACCCATAGGGACTCGAGGAGGAAAGGCCTGGCAGTCACCTTCTGCAAGGTCACAACCTGAAAGCTCTCTGCAGCAGTTCTCTGCACACATGGAAACGACTCAATGGCTCCCGGGTTCACTTTCACCCACACGCACAACCCCCACTGAGCTGCAGGAGTCCCTGTGTCCCAGCCCCACAGAGGAGGGAACAGAGGCTCACAACGGTGGGTAACATTGTCAGCGCCATCCCAGCGGGGATTCAAGCCCATGCCTTCAGACTCCAAACCCAGGACTCCTAGTGCTCAGAGGGCAACTCAAGTTGCTTAGAGAAGAAGAAAGTGAGCCCAGCCAGGGATGTGCTCTGCTCACGACCCACAGCCATCTGGACAGATCTGAGACTCCCCAAAGCTTCACCTTCAACCCCAGACAGTGACCGCCAATGTTATCAACACAAGAAACAACGGGGCCTTAATGAGACGAAGCCCAACATAAAAGAAAGGGGTCTTTTAGTCCCAAGGCTCACCCCATTCCACAACAAGGCCTGAATCCCAGGTCAGACTTCCCAGGTGGGCAGGTCTGGGGAGCTGGGCAGGTGAGCTTGGAGTTGGGCAATCTCTACACCATAAGGGTCAGGTCTTCGTGGGGAACTTCCCATGCAATGATGGAGCCAGTACAGGCTGAAAGTGCCAGCCAGCTCAGGGCCTTTGGGATGGGTACCCTGATGCCGGAGGTATGTGAGTGGTACCAGCAGTGGAAGGATAAGTGAATTCAGGGCATAGGAGAGCAAGGGGAAAGTTCTCAGTCAAGGGAAAACAAGATATGCTAATGCTAAACACTCACAAGATGCTTTTTATCATGTGTGCCTACAGCTCAAGTCTCTATGACCCCACGTCTTGCAGGGGGGAGTGCTGGGTGGGAAGACTGGGACTAACGGAGGGACATTCTAAGGCCCCACCCAGGCACTCCCCTGGCTCACACCAAAGAGTCTCAGTCCCTTCCTTCTCAGCGCTGCCTTTGCTCCCCACTCTCTACTTCACAGGGGCCCATTCCCCCCAGAGCCCATGTGTAATCCTGCAGGCGGAGGGGGTATGCAGGTCACCATCTTCATTTCTGACCCCTCAGTGCCAAGAGGGAAGACACCAAAAGTGTGTCAGCCGCAACACTGGTGGGCAGCGATTTCACACCTGGGCTGAAAAGCCAGAACCATAAATCTCCCCTACCCGGCAGGCTGCCCTCCCTAGGCTGCCATTCTGTCTGTCAGGTCTGAAGACCTCAATCACCTTCCACAGAGGTGCCAGCAGGAGCTGAGACCATACCAGACCAGTCCAGGCTCCGAGGCTGTGCTGAGTCAGTGGACTGAGGCAGACAGACTCTGAGCAGCAGCCCACACCGCCAGGGTGCCTTCCAGAAATAACCTGGACCCTCCTTCCAAGCCCTAGGACTGGGGAGATGATCTCTGGGGAGACTAGGAACCAGAGGGGCCGAACTTCCGAAAGTTCATGAGTTGTAAACTGGGAGAAGCTCTCCATCAGAATCCAGAAACTCCCAAGAATCCTGGTGTGTGTCCCCAGACCCCTACCCCCTCCACTCTAGTGAAGACCTAGGAAAGTTCCTGCGGGGACCCTGGGAGGGTTTGGAGGGCGGAGGTGGGGGTAGGGGGGTACTCTTATCCGGCGCCCAAGCCTCTGTCCCTTGTGGACCAGAGCCTGTCAAGGTCCCTCCATCCAAGTCCCCTTTTCCTTATCCCCCGACTGGAACAGCGCCGGCCTGGCTTCCCTCGCCCCGCAGCGCGGCTCACCTTTGGGCAGCTTGGAGACGTTCTCCAGGATCCAGGAGAAGAGGTGGGCGAAGTCGCAGTCGCAGAGCCACGGGTTCCCGTCCAGGCGCAGCGTGCGGAGCGCGGGCAGCGCGGCCAGGGCGGCCACGTTGAGGCTGCGGAGGTGGTTGTCATGGAGCTCCAGCACCTGCAGCGACTCCAGCGTCTCGAAGGCGGCCTGGTCCACGCCGGCCAGGCGGTTGTTGGCCAGGCTCAGCTTGAGCAGCCTGGCGGCCGAGCGGAAGGCCCCGGCGCCCAGCTGGGTCAGGTTGTTGTAGCTGAGGTCCAGGAAGGCCAGCTTGGCGGAGCCGCG